TGCAATGTTTGCGCCAGATTCAGATGTAGTTGAGGGGCTGGTGGCCAGAATGATGAAGTTCAGAGAGATGGAAATCTCTGACAACAAGACTACTGATTTTCCATGGACTTCCTGATTAGTTATGTAACTAATCAAGATAGTGGATCTAATTATTATGAAATTTACCCGCAGATGATGATTTGCACATTTCAATCTTGTTATGTATTTGGACAGAATCTCAGTCTAGTAATGTTATGTACTCAATGATGTAAATACCATGTGATGTAGCTGATTAATTTCTGTAGGAAACTAGGAATTATAAAGATAAGAACCGCGGCACATAGATTGGGACCCTTCTATCTGTTTACCTTACAGGTTGGTTGTTTAGCCTGAACCCTGTTATGATAATAATAATGATCCTGGACGCTATGCATTATCTCTCCATGGTGTTGTTTCTATCTCATTAGTGTCGCACATGCACAACCAAGTTTTGCAACCTTATGTAAGCTGTGACATGAGATTTTTGTCAAGCGACAGCAAGCCAGTCTCTTTGGTTCAGCATCACCAAGGTTGGCATCCTCTGGACTGTATGTATCGTAGCCTTGCTTTTCCTTTTGCTTTACTCAGTGGAACTCTATACTGTTTTTTTAGTATTGTTATCTTTTGCTCTTTGCTGTTGAGGAGGTCCCTTTCTTTTCCCTGCCTTCTTTTGAAAGTGAAGCTTATTTTTTTATTCTCTCTTCATGGAAAGTTTGATTCATATAGGTATATACCTATGATGCCACTTACGCATTTGTGCAAGGATTATCCTACCAATCAACTAGCTACTCGTGCATAGGATTCTGAGCACTCGGCAGCGAGGTGAACAGGTTGAGCTTACCGAGGTCTGAAGAATAATCCAGAGGGAACGAATGGCTACTCGACTGCGCCCTGAATTCACACCAGTGGCATTGTAAGCAGCACAACTTCTATCTGACTAGATTTGCAAAAATGTTGTCAAATCTGATGTCATATACCCTGATAATAGGGAGCATTACATGGTCACAGCAGTAGCAAAGATAGTTCAGTCAGACTTGACACCCTCTAGGCATGGTTGATCTTTCTGTGAGCAGGAGTGTCTGGCTTCTCATACAATATGCTAGCTGTGTTATTTGACTTGTATCTCAGTCATACATCTTACCTCATACTTCCTCGGTTGGGAATTACTTGTCGCTCAAACGGATGTATCTAGACAAGCGACGAGTAATTTCGGACGGAGGGAGTACATCTTAAAGGCTGAAATTTAAATGTCATATACAATACGCTTTCCTAAGCACAACAGTACTTGTGTAATAAAAACACACTGAATTTTTTTCCTGCCACAATCTAGATATATCTTGTCAGGATTATCAGTTCACCTAGGACCTCATACATCCCAGGCTAGAGGTGCAACCTGTTGGAATTCTTCCACAGGATCGCTCACATCAAATCATGATGAACACGGGCGCGCAAAACTTTTGGCCAAAGGCACGTGTCGTGCCTTTCTTCTTTTATTTCTTTTTCTGAGCTCGTTACAAAACCTCACGCAGGTCGTGCATATATATGTGCAGATCCAACCGACCAAAGCAACCCTTCCAAAACCTATACGGACACTAGGTCAAATGACCGGCTACCTTGATCGTTGTTTAAACCTAAACGTATTATGACTCTCGGCCTAAACCTACTCGGACCTCTAACACGTAGCAGACCTGGACTAGTACTACTTCACGGCAGCCAGGTAGGTTGCATCTAAGTAGAACTTACCTAAAACTAATTAACTCAAGATTACTGCTGACACAACCGAGGAGCTCACATTCACAGTAATAGCAAAATCAACTGGATTTTTAACAACAAAGTTGCGCTCTATGTTGGTCTCTGGATTCTTGGTACCTTGGACTTTGACAACCTCAGACATTTGAGGCATTCTTTGCAATCAATCTGCGTACACCACATTGCCATCTTTATCATCTGAATTACCTCTCGCTCGTGTGTTTGAATGTCGTTACTATTCTTTGTCAATCAAAACTACCTGGCTGCCGTGAAGTAGTACTAGTCCAGGTCTGCACAGAAACCAATCAATCAATCTCAGATGTGGTTTGTCTGCACAGAAACCAATCTAGGAGGTGGTGGAGTGCGATTTGCTTGTATCATCTGTTAGCTTAATTGAATCAAAAGTCTAGTTGTAGTAGGCCTATTGTGACTGCTGACAGAGCAGGATAACTGATTGATGTACTAGGCAGGGATTTTTCTAAGAATTTTCCAAGTGTCAACGGTCAAGAATTGACAGCCATCGCCCAAATGCTCTGCTCACCACAGGGATGTATTGTAGCCAAAAATTGTGTGAGAGATGCACTTGCTTTCTACAGATCTTTTGATGTTGTGAATATTATGATCTGTAGCTAAAAACTGTCTGACTGCCAGAAACTGTGTGTTAGATTATGATCTGTAGCTAAAAACTGTGTGATTGCCGGAAACTGTGTGTTAGAAAACATTGAAGTCTCTTTCTACTTGCACACCCGTCCTTCCAATGTTATTGATTGTGATAGCTTTTATTGTAAAATTCGCCGCTAGATTACTAGCTCTGTTCGATCCTGATACACTCTTTGCTGCTACAGGCACATCTGGATAGTCACAGCTGCCACCTGCATGCTTGGACGCCTTGTTGACTGGCGTATCAAAAAGTCAGCAATTTTCTTGAAACCTTTTGACATCATATTGGTACAAGATGCATCTGCCATGGAAGATCATATTTCAAATTCAGCAATGTGTTGATCGAATTCAGATTTGAAACATGGTATATTGCGTTGAAATTTGATGTTGTGAATATATTTTACATATTCTTTTTATGTGAATTTCTGATAACACAGTATGATGATTCCTCCTTCGTGATCGTACAGGCCTATTCAACCCTTCAAGTGTATATGGTCAATCATGTTTTGTGAATTTCTGTCACTGTATATTGTACCATCCTGTTCAACCCCTCAAGTAGCATTTTGTAAATATTTTGCAACATTATGTCCCAAGACATGAGAACTATAGATTATATCAAGTATTTGCCTCATATGCACTGCTATTCGTCCGGACCACGTGGCCTGGACCTTTTGTGCCCTCCAACACAATCCATCAAACATCCGCAGATAGATCTGCACGTCAAATTCCCACAAATCAGAGGCAAACCTAGGGATGTTTGCGGACATCCAGACCTCCGCCACATAGGCGTCCAACTACCAGGTCCTACCCATAATTCTCCCTGTGCGTTCAGCTAAAAAACCATCTTCGTGCATTCATGCCGCCTTGCTGCGGAGGTGACTATGCAGCGTGAATGGCGGTCAGACGGATGTGCCCGCACGGGAGGGTGCTGACGCTTCAATGCTCACGCAACGACTGAGAAGCCTACTCCGGCCGCATCGCCGCATCGAATCGGTATCAGTCCACTTACCTCGGCTATTTAAGCAGGGAGGCACCGCTGGCCAACCCCATCCCTGCCTCTCCTATCCACACACTGTCGCCGACCCTCTCATCTACTCTCCTCTCCGCACACCGTCACCGAGCAATGGGCAAGTCCAAGTCTGGCGGCAGCGGCTGGTTCTCGGTGTCGACCACTGGATTTGGAGGGAGCTCTGGATCGTGGCGCCACCGCTCGTGGTCTTCGGGGCCGCCATCCTTCACTGCCTAGTCGGTGAAGGAGGAGGTGCTGCTCTCCTCTTCCGACGACGACCCGCGGCAGTCACCGCCCCTTCTCGCCGAGGTGTCGCAGACCGACAAGGAGTTCCACGCCATGATGTAACGACGCCGCCGCCGACGATGACGGTCATGTGTACAAGGTCACCGTCCGACACCTCTCGTAGTTTAGTTTAGTTTGATTTTTCGTCTGGTCTAGTTGAACTTCGTTAAATTTCATCCTTTAAGTTATACCATATTTCAGAATTTAATAAATATTGTCCAGTTTGTATGAATTATGTTTGTTTTTGCCAACTTTGATTTGAAATGTTACGAACAATTGATGCATGCAATTGGTTGTACGGATCTTATATCGATGTTCGTGGACGGGTCTGCGGACATTTGGTGTGTCCGAGTTGATGCATGCCCTTGGAGATGCCCTTAGTGAGGGAACGAGTGTTGAATGATGTACACGCTGACCAACAGCATGAAGACAAATATATTGAATAGGCAATATAGCTATAAGTTTGTCTATCTAGCAAAGGGACGGTAACTAAGTTTAAGTTGTTACACTTGTGAAAATCTGCCGGTTCTGGCTGCATGGCACGAGAGCAACAAAGCATAAGAAACCATTGAGATTACATACTACATATAGTACATGTTGTTGCTCACCGATGAAGCTCCATGATACCCGCTGTAGCTTCCTATTGAATTGCAATGCCACACAATGTGGCAGGTGTCACTCGACAGTGTAGATGCATATGAGGGGGCACCTAATCCACCAAATATTTCTGTCCCTCGCACACATAGCATCCAGTCGAAAATCCCAAACAATCCAATATGGTGTCCAGTTAACCTGCATATTGGATTGGTTCCGTGTTTCGACGCCTTCCGGGAAAGTGGTTATAAAAAAAAGTTACAAAATGCTATACCTGATTGTATTTGAGACTGTCCATCTCATTGATGAAGCTCCTGTACAAGGCCTCTTGCTTGCCTCCGAACATTTTGACTCTGTCCCAAGCGAAAGCCAGAGTGGGTAGTCATAAAATTGGCTTCTTCTCCCTCAAGGCCTTCCAAAGGCCACCTGGAGTCCATTTTTTTAAGACGTCCAACTGGCAACCGCTCCCACATCCATACCGAGAGGTCCCAAGTACATCCGCCCATAGCGGGTTTGTCGCTGGTTTACATACACGCCTCGCCGAGCTGCTAACAAGAACTAGTTCATCATTAGCTCCGAACAATTCCTAAAAACATAAATACATCCATAAAGAATTATTGCAGTAACTTGTTACCTGACAGTACAAGTAGGCGAGACCAGCGAACCCCTAGCTGTACTTCTGGTCCTAGTCAACCAGGAAGTCAAGAAACATCCAGGACGCAACGTCACCAGAGCAGTCTATAAAAAGTACATGGGATAGGAGATACCACAGGTACGCCCGCGCGTATTGCTCCATCGTCTCGTTGTCCACACCTTGTGGGCATCCCGACCTGTTCTCACGGAGCCACTTGAATGGGACACCGGATGACCGGTTGTCCATCTTTCCCCTGGCGGTAAGAGAGGGGGAGCAATCACCGATGAGACCGGTAACTCTCTCATGCCAGAACTTGTTCCACACTCGTCCAATGAGAGACTCGATGTGGAGCGGAAGACCAATAATCATCGCGAAGTCCTGCAGGGTGACTGTCATCTTCCCACAAGGAAGGTGGAAACTGTGTATCTACGTCCGCCAACGATCCAGCGGGCTGTGAGCGCATTATGGTTCACCACCGGTGGTACACACTTGAACTGCAGAACAAACGGTAGGAGGCTAGCTCTCTCGAAATAAGGCTCAAACCGCTCGTCGTATGCCAACTGGCATGTCTTGGTGCGACCCCTCATTCACACTATTGGCAGCATGTGTCATAATGGCACAAATATGTCAGAACCTTCAACTTTAAAAAAATACAATAACATGAATACGATGATGCCAAAGCTTGTTTCCTGTCCACTCTCGATAAAACACCCAGGATACCCTTTGTTGAAAGCAGGGTCAAGCCAAACATACGAACGACCACCGTCCGCAGCCTCGCCCATCCTAACACAAATGACATATAAAATGAATTATTTCACAACATCCATATTTGACAACATCATTCATACATATGAATTGGAATATATATGCCCATACACATTGGAAAAAAAAAATTACAACCTATAAATTCACAACACATGCATTAGGATTACATTTATGGTAGATTTTAATTTCTTGGCTGGAAATCTGGAATTACCAATGGCTAGCTATCTCCACAAAACAGCCCGATCCATGACTTGGACTGTAATAACAAGGTGTCTATCTATGGTAGAAGTATCCATTATTTAGAAGTATCCATTCTTTAGAGAATTGGATACATGTACCTAGCAAAGATATTTTGTCCACGTCACAAATCAGGGTGTTCTGTAGAAGTAGCTATTGATAATTCCAGGCAAGAAATAAAAGCTTACCAGAAGTTACAACACTACTAATCTATACGAAAATGAAACACACACGTGCAACTAAGTTTAGAACAAAATACATCTCGCTCTAGTGGTGATGAATTCATAGTCAAGAACATAAAGATGAGAGTTCTGGGACTTTAAAAGGAGATGCTAGGCGGCAAGTTTCTCACCAGGCATTGCCGGATTATCCTGGTTAGCCCTCCTCTCCTTGGCCCAACTTTTTGTCTTCCGTGGGGGCAGAACCTACGCTTTCTATTCAGGTTGCCATTTTGTCTCCTCTTTTTGTTTGCCTTGGTAGTGGATAGTAGTAGCAGTAGTAACAAGTTCGGTTGGAGTTGATGCAGGATCCTCGTTTCTTGGTCGAAACTCTAGTAGATGGCTGCCCAGCAGAACAAGGGAAGTAGAAGATGCGCTGCACGGATTCACTGTTTGAGGATTTAGTACGGTCCTACAAGAGGCCCCTGCAGCTAGCTCCAGAGTAGGTATAAATATAATACTTTATCAGATTGTGGTTGTAGGATTCTGCTTCTAGATAATCTATATGGGATTTATCTTCTTCGATGCAGTTCCATATTAATGGATTCTAGGGTTAGTTTTTCTGTGATATGATTGTGAATTAATGGATTAGCATAAGACTAAGTTGTCTCTGTGATGCGATTCTGCATCAATGCCTTCGAGTTGGGCTAAATTGCTTGTGAGGATGATCTGTTATTCTTGGTAAATCTTCCTTAATTTCTTTCTCTAGACTACAAATCTTACATATTTCTGCTAGATTTTATGATTCGGCTACGTGGAATGCAAAAAAGGCTTACCATGAATGCAAAAAAGGACTACACGAAAAGGAGTTGTTGTGCAGCCGGCTATGGCCACAACCTCTGAGTCCAAGATGATGATTCATGGTAAGCCTTTTTTGCATTCCACGGAGCTGAATCATAACTAGCAGAAATATGTAAGATTTGTAGTCCAGAGAAAGAAATTAAGCCAGATTTACCAAGAACAACATATCATCCTCACAAGAAATTGAGCCCAACTCTAACGCATTGATGTAGAATCGCATCACAGAGACAGGTCCTATGCTAATCCATTAATACACAATCATATCATAGGAAAACCATCTCTAGAATCCATTAACACGGAACTGCATTGAAGAAGATAAATCCCATACAACTTATCTACTAGCAAATTCCTACAACCACAATCTAATAAAGTATTATACTTATACCTGCTCTGGAGCAGGCTGCCGGGGCCTCTTGTAGGACCGTACTGAATCCTCGAATAGCAAATCCGTGCAGCGCATCTTCTCCTTCCCCTTGTTCTGCCGGGCAGGCATCTACCAGAGTTTCGACCAAGAAACGAGGATTCTGCATCAACTCCAACCAAACTTGTTACTACTGCTACTAGCATCCACTGCCCAACCAAACAAAAAGAGGAGACAAAATGGCAACCTGAACAGAAAGCGTCGGTTCTGCCCCCCACGGAAGACAACAACTTAGGCGGAGGAGAGGAGGGCTGACCAGGATAGTCAGGCAATGCCCAGTGAGAAACTTGTCAACTAGCAACTCCTTTTAAAGTCCCAGAGTTCTCGTTTTTCTGTTCTTGACTATGAATTCATCACCGCTAGAGCAAGATGTATTTTGTTCTAAATTTACTTGCGCTTGTGTGTTTCTTTTTCGTATAGATTAGCAGTACTGTAACTTCCGATAAGCTTTTATTTCTTGCCTGGATTTATCAACGGCTACTTCTACAGAACACCCTGATTCATCACGTGGACAAATTATCTTTGCTAGGTACATGTATGCAATTCTCTAAGGAATGGATGCTTATGAATAATGGATACTTATACCATAGATAGACAAGTTGTTATTACAGTCCACGTCATGGATCAGGCTATTTTGTAGAGGTAGCTAGCCATTGGTAATTCCAGCCAAGAAATTAAAATGTACCATAAATGTAATCCTAACACATGTGTGTTTTACAAGATTTATGGTAATCTATATGCAAAAAAGAAACTTGGACGAGAATGAATTTAGAAGAAAATGTATCTAGCCAGTGATGCATGAATTTGTTGGAACCGCAGCCCTCTAGCTACCTCTCCTCTCACTCGAACGGAGGTGAAAGAAGAAGAACAATGGACAAGAGAGATTTTCCGGCCGGCACACGAATGCCGCCACGGGCGCACGAACGCCCCAATCCTTTTTTCTTTCTCGGTGGCTACATGGCTCTTGCCGACGCACATCACAACCAATACACACAGGGCTTTTTATACCCGAGATACACACACGCACGCACCACCAGCCCGGCAACATACCCACGCACACACGTAGTAATCCAACCACTACTGGCCGCCTTACACGCTAACAGCCCATGCATGCATCCATATATCAACTGCCTAGACTAATTCACGTATGACTCGTATGGCTCGGCCACCACCTGCGACAACTAATCCAACTACATGCATGCACGAACAGTCACAGCACACACGACGCTGCGTCAACTGATACGCCGGTCACCACGCCGAGCCGTGGTTTACTCCTAACAGAATTCTCAGCGGCAAGGATAGAAACACGAGTCTTTTGTGACTTTAAAATGGAGGTGCTAAGTAGTAAGTTCCTAACCAGACATTCCCAGATTCTCGTCAGCCCTTCTCTCCTCTGCCCGAGTTGTTCCGTTTCTGGTTCTCGTGGAAGCGTTCTGCTCAGATTGCCAATATGTTTTGTCTTTAATGGGTGGTTTGGGTAGTACATAGTAGTACTGACAATTTTGGTTGGGGTTGTAGAGGAAGATGGCCACGCATGGGGAGCAATGGGAAGGAGAAGGTGCAGTACTCGTCCTCCGACTATTCAGTACGATCCTACAAGAGGCCACAGCGGCCCGCTCTAGAGACCATCCCGGACCCGGAGCAGCATGTTTAATAATCCTCTATTGAATTCTCGCTTGTACAATTCTATCGGTAGAAAAGATGTATTGGCTTTATCTTCTACTTCCTCCGTCCCATAATGTAAGACGTTTTTTGACACTAGTGTAGTGTAAAAACACGTCTTACATTATGAGACGGAGGACGATACAATTCTGTGTTAATGGATTCTAGGGCTAATTTTTAATGTGATGTGATTATGCATTAATGGATCTTGGTTATTTTTCTGTGATGCAATTATGGATCTGTGTATTCAGGTTGGATGAGTTCCTTGAGATGATTTGTTGTTCTGGGTAAATCTGCCTTAATCTTTTTGTCTCGAAGAAATACTGATCTTACAGATTTCTGCTTGATTTTATCATTCAAATCCATGGAATGAAAAAAGCTTACCGTGAATTTTCCCCTTGGGAGGACCCGTTAACTAGCGAGTATGCTTCGTACAGTATTGTCCTCTTGGGAGGACCCTGTAACTAGTGAATCATGGTAAGAATTTTTACTCTATATGGCTGAAAGGTAAATTTAAGAAAACATCTTGAAATCTCTACAGTACTATCAGAAAAGTAAGAAGATTTACCCAAAATAATTGGTTGTCAAAAACAAGAAATAATGCCCAGAAGATTGTTTTGTTTAACAAACTATGACAAAAACATATCTAATCCTACGCAAGCTGATTGTTCCATTGTTACCTGGGAGGATATGTAGATACAGGTTCACACGGTACGATATGTGTTTATGAATAGTCATCAAATTCTTCAGTTCATTTCATTGAACTAGCTACCGTCGTAGGGTATGCTAACAAAGGAGTATATATTTTATTAATAATATTGATTTCTCACAATGTCTTTCACTAGGGATTTAAAAAGGTTTTGGTGAGGAGATGGCCCAAAGTAACTTTTTTGCATGCTAATACGTGTCTCATTTATATCATAAGAATCATAGTACAAACTTCACAAATCACAAAACACTAGTCGCTACTATAATCATCATCATCATCATCATCATCATCATTATTATTAATATTATCCTCTACTATTAAAGGAGAGTTGATACGTTCTCCTCACATCACTCCTCCCTCCTATGTTGGCTTTTATCTCTCCACGCCCTCCTTCCTTGGTTTGAAATAATCTAAATGCGATCAATACTTTCCTTCCCTTTTTTTACTGGAAACCATGTCTTACATTAACTCAATCAAATCTTATCAAAACTATGTCATGCATTAACTCGATGAAATGAAATCTTACCAAAATCTTAACTAAATAAAAACTTCCCTTGCCTTCCCCTAGTCATTCCCAAATCAA